AGTCCTCTTGGTGAATGCTACTATGGTCGATTTGGATGGGCTTATGTTAAGCCCTTCCTCTTCGGTCCATCTTGTTATGATGTTCAGGGCCTGCTGCATGCATCCCTTCACTACATTATTGTATTTGCCCTGGACTAGGATGACTAAGTCGTCTGCATAGCCTAGTGCTTTGTACCCATTACGGTCTAGGAGACATAGCAGCTCGTCCATCACAAGGTTCCATAACAGAGGGGATAGAACCCCCCCCCCTGTGGAAAGCCCCTTGCTACCCATGCCACGACTGTTTCCCCCATAATGGTTGTATATACCAATCTTACCCTAAGCATGCAGTCTATCCACCTGCAGCTTGTCTTGCCGATCAGGTATTAGGTATAGATTTATAAGAAAAATTGATAGGTGAATTATTATTACATACATTTCTGCTGATTACATCAGAATTTGTATTACTAACAGTATTGAAAATTATTTTATTGAGAAGTTTTCTGGGATAGGAAGTTTCGATCAATATGACTATGAAGTCTGAGATTTTTTTGCTCGAGGGAAGGGTGTTATAATTTTTCTATTCTTTTTTTCAAACAGTATTAAATTGGTTTTAACTGATTTTTTTCTCAACTTTTGAAACAACCTATAATTCATGAAATGGGATGTTTTCATATTACGAACAAATATGTATTTTTATTATTGGAAATGTATTTAATGTATTCAACCAAAAAAACAAATTCACAAAAATGTTTAGGTATTGAATCATTTTCGAATTAGAATTTCTTATTTTTGTATCTACTTTTGAACCTCATAAGAGTGTCGGTTCAAGGTTAATTTCAAATGGACTATTCAGTTTTTTACAGAAATGTTTTGTTATTAATAATGAACAAGTCAATCTTGAGTAGACTGAAATTCTGTTCTGTTCCACAGTTAACATTTTTCCCATTACAAAAATTTATATTTTCGCCAAACCTGAATCCCCAAGTTAGTGGATCATGAGGACAGGTAGTTGTCAAAATAAAATTGAGGCATGTACCCTTGAGAACTCACCCACATAAATTGGATGTTGATGAAATTTAAATATCTCACCACCCTGTAAGTGATATATATTTGAATGTGAAATATAATAGATGTCATTACTGACAGTTTTGTGTATAGAATTTGAAGAAAAGTTTTTCTTGAGTGCTTCTATTTGTTCCGTTGAACAAACATTAAATAAAAGTAAGTTTAGTGTAATGTGGAATGAAATTTGTTTTTTTCATCAAATACTTTACACTTCCAAAGTTTGGTTGTGTTATTTTCATATTTAAGTCGAATCTGGCTATTCATAGATCTTTCCACTCTGCAAAATTTCAGATGTCTATTAATAGTTTGGCAAGATTTTCATCATTTGGAAGGACATTCACAGTTAGTTTCATTGTATTGAAAGGCATATTATATTCAGTTGACTGGAATGTGGCAAATATTGAATATTTCCATTAGTATCAATCAATATTGAATATTGTTTGGGATAATATGAAAACTCTGCAACTGTCTTCTATTTATTAATACATTTTCCATTTATTCAGCATCTTTTGTCTACTATAAGATATTCAAAGAAATCATTGTGAATTGCTGGATGAATGAAATACTTTTTTTGTAATACAATAACAACTGGATCAGGTTGGATTTAAATTTTTCAGACATACAATCAGGGCACATATTTTCATAATTCAGCAGATTCACTTCTTGTATTACTTTACCGGGCGTTTTTTTTGTGATAGGTACTTCATTGTCTGTAATACTTATTGGATTAATGATTTTTAGTTCAGTTCCTGTAATCTATTTTCACATTTTTTTATTAAATGTCAATTTAAACTTTGCTTTATAATCAATGAACTTATCCATATTCATAAATTGAGAAGTATAGTAATACTTCTTCAGTGACTTTATTGTATAAGTTAGTTTTAAGTAGATTTTGATTCCTTGAGAAAAATCATTGAGCTGTTAACTAAGGAAGTAAGGAAGAAATTATAATATATAATCGCATTCAGAACTGAGAATCAAATAATCCTGACCAGCAATCTCACTTTAGGTGAAAAATATACTAGTCTTTATTTTAATGAGTCAAAAATCTGCTATAACTAGTTGAGTCATTAAAAAGTACCTTTGATTCTTTCAATTCATTTTTACATCTCATTTTGAAAACTACTATTACAAAAACCAAATACCGTATTTATACCATCGTGAATGTGAAAGTAATTTCAATTCATTGAAAACATAAATAGAAAATATATTTACACTCCTATAAATCTTACCCCATTATATATCAGTCAAATGAATCTTTGATTTTTCAAATGAACCACCACCTGAAAGATTTATAAATAATCTCACATGCAACCTCGTACTTATTTTTAGCAAACCTTCTCTCTAACAAATTTCATTCCTCACTAAACTTACGTGTCACAGAGAATGCATAATAAGGTTTCATTTCCCAATTTACCAAAATCAATACCGCACTAGTCAGTATAAAATCCTAGTTCTCAATTTCATTTCATACTAGTAGTCTACGAAAATTATTCAAAATACTGAGGTGTACGTTTTGGGTGGGGAGGAAACATTTCCTGAATGGTGGGGAACTGTTATGCAAGGGCAGATCAAGAGCACAGTCAAGATTTAGTAGAGGCGATCTGAGTTTGGTTAGAAGGGGAGCTTTTATTGAACTTAAAAAAATGGTTTGGTTTACCACTAACGACAAAAATGTTGACGGCAACACACTTACAGAAGTAATATTACAAAATACGGTGAACAGTGATTTCCATAAACTCTGATATGACTTTTTTTCTCAGATGTCGGAAAAAGTTTTGCCCTTCCAGCTTCAGGCTGCTGATGCCACCACTCACCTGGATCATATTTGCGCCCTTGATATCAATTCCAGAGCCTCCTATATCAGGCTTTCAGGGATTATTTGCACTATTGGTAAGTTTTGTGATTTATTAGTTCAGTTTCGTCTACAAGGTGTATCTATTCTCTTGTGGTGGTAGATAATAGGAAAATTATTATAATTTCTGTACAAACATACGCAATTTTCATCAAATATTTGCATTATATGAACTCGTGATTATTCGTTCTGAAAAGTAAAGGGATATGAATATTTTAATGATGAGCATAATAATGTTTATTCAATGACTAAGAAAATATTTCTCTGTGGACATTTCCTCAAAACCACAAATGCGATGTAAGTTATTTTCAGTCGAGATTCCCTATTGTGATTTAACACATCATTTTATTTTTATCACTTTCCTACGCAATTGGAGTATACAAGTAATTTTTGCAACTCCAGAATATTGGTCCATGAATTTTTTAACCTTCGTTATTTCAGTCTCGGACTCATCGGAGAATATAATGATTCTATCCAATTCATTTTCATAAAAACGTTTACCCAACAAGTACGCCTTGCTACTTCGATTTCTCTTGGGAATAAAAATTCTCTCTTTTACAAAAACTTGAATTCTAGCTTCTAAAGGTACGTCTGGAGATCTTGTAATGAATGGCAAATGAGGCAATATGTTTTACTGGCAAGTTGAATTGCAGCGTTACAGTTTCTGCAGGTTCTTTGATGACTGGTTCAGAGTAAGTGGATGTTTCACTTGATGTTTGAGATTCAGATTGTAAGACTGAGATTCGCTTTCTAGTCCTAGTTCACTAGTACTCATAACAGATTGATATTAGGAGTGGTTTCTAACTCGCTATTTCACCACCACTGCGGGCAACGAGTTCATCCACATGCGCAGGATTTTGGAGGTAACCGCATGTTGGTGTAGAAAGAGTTGATATGACATATGGAACTTGCGATTGGATTGATGTGTCTGCTTGAGTCGTTGCTAGTTTTTCTTGAGCCTTGGCTTTTTCTTTTTGAATTTTTTCAATCGAAGAATATTGTAACACTTTTGTAAACGTATTCACCTTCTTGAATGTAAAAACCGAAGTCAGAAGAAAAAGTTGAAGCCTTTACTTTTGATTGCATCCTTCTTTCTCTTCCTATGTCTGGGCCAAGGTCTCGTAAGCGTTTGGAGCATAACATACATCTTGACTCGTACCGAACCCATTTTGTTGGCGGAGATTTCAATTCTTCGGGCATCTTTCTTCTCTGTAAATTAAAGGCACTTGAGGTTTTGAATTTTCTCAATGAAGTCATGAATTTTGATTGAACTTTTCTAACAAGAGATTGTTCGCAACCAAATCAAAAATATCTGCCATGATTGACTAGCAAGTTTCCCAGTCTTTTTTACTCATAAGACAAATTCAACATGTTTTTTTTTGTTCTTTTTGTGAACATGGCATCAATCACAGATTACTCGAATGGACGTACCTAGCAGTGTACATAGTGAATTTTATCCTTGACTTGAGAATGTCAATGAAAACAAGTACCCAATCTATTGTCGAAAAATAGTATACTGTACAACAAGTGAGAAAAACGACATATTTCTCACGAACACAGAAGCTAAAGCAGCCTAAAATCAAAACCAAACATTTATTTTTCGATAACAATTTAAAAATTTTCAATTCATACCTTTGTCAGCAAATACTTTTCATCAGGTGCATCTTTTAAAACCTGTTGAATTTCTTCAGAAGTTAATGTTTTTGACTGTTTTGGAGCATATTTTTCAGATTTGTGTTTTAAAAATGCACATAGTTTTACGTATTTTAATATATCAACACAGTTTTTAATAATTAAGGTACTCTTCAGCATCGAGTACTGAGACCATAATGTTGATGATTTCAATCTTCTTGACAACTCTTCAAAATAAACTAACAAGGTATTTTCGGAACAAGAATTTACATTGGCTTTCATTTTCCAGTCCATAAAGTTTCTGTTAGCGATTTCATATTTTTCTCTTGATGTGCTCGATAGCAAATTATTGCAAACATCTATTGCTTTCTGAACAATTTCTGGAGGTATATATTTGAACCCTAAATCTTCGTATTATATTCAATATTTAATAAATCTGAACTGTTTATATTATAACAATCAACAATAAAACTATTTTCGTTGGGTAAGTTGACAGCAATAATTATGCAGTGCTTCGGTTTTGTTGTTATGGAAACGCCGACAATGGGCTACTTGGATATTGCACGCGAATCGTCGGCGTATCGTTGTCAACATGGAGAACGTGTCATATCAATCTGACATGTAACAATTAATGACTGACTTGGGTTATCGTGATAATAGTGAGAAATTATTTCTCACTGACAGACAGCATAACTAGACAACTTGTTTTTACTATTTTTCATACTCTCTTCATTTAACCTCAGAAAAAAGTCAGTGACCTTATTTTTAATTATAAGATTTCAAGCAAAAGTTGCTGTGTTCAATGATAGATGTGACTATTAACTTGACACCTATTCACTAAACTGAAATCAACATCTATCTAATCAGCAATTTTTAGAACTTCATTCCTAGTTATAAAGCATTAGCATTAAATTAATTCCTCACAGCTTATATGGTAAATGTGATAAAAAGTATGTTGGTCAAACAAGACAGACTATAATAGCTAGGAGGATCATGTTTCACATATTCGGTTCCTCAGAACAGAATAGTCTAGTTTCGCTCAACATCTTCCCAGAACTGCCACAAAATTAGTGAGGAATGCTTGAAATTAGTGAGACCTGTACATTAAAATAGGTTTTTAGATGCCTTCAAAGTTTACAAATCAAAATTTGTGGAATAATATCTATGAATAATGATAAAGAACCCATTCCAAACAGCCCATTGTTACTCCCTTACAGGTGGAAAATAGGTAAATATTAGGTGTCAAAACAGATAAACATTAGGAACAATAACATAGTAAGTAATTCTAGGCATTGATTTAATTGACCTTCATATTTGTAAGGTTTGTCCAGATCTATATGAAAAATTAGTGTTAGTTATTTCCTGATGAAGCTAACTTGGTCAGCGAAATGCGCATAGAGAGAGATAACTTACTTGTTTGAGGTGACTTGTCTGAATAACAATACATATATTCAGATTTGTTGCATTAACTGAGTACGAGGTCTGTTCAAACAATAAGATGAATTTTCAAATTTCGCGGTATACATACATTCGATTAATGATTTTTTATTTTATTTTTTTTATATTGGCACACTCGTCTCGAACATATGTTCACAGATTCAACAGTTCAGCATGTCTAGTTTGTTGGTGAGAGGCATAAAAGTTAGGAAGTGTTTTGCGTGTTCGGCCATTTTCTGCTATCGAAAAAAATTGATCAAAGAATCTGCATGAAATTTTGAGTAAAAGTGGAATTGAGTGCTGAAAAAACACTTGAAACATTGACAGTGGCATACGGTGATTGTACTCCGAGTCAGGAAAATGTTCACAAGTGGTACAAGCTTTTCACAGAAGAATACATCAAAAACCGAAGAAAATGTTGAGAAAGTGAAAATAAATGTTATGGAAAGTTGTCGAATCGCTATTAGAGAATTTGCTGAAGATGTCGGCATATCGGTTGGCTCATGCTATGCAATTTTTGAAAAATTTTGGGCATGAAGCGTGTAGCAGCGAAGTTCGTTTCAGAATTGCTGAATTTTGACCAAAAAACCGCCACATGAGTATCGCTTAGGTATTGTTGAATGATATCAACGGCGATCTAGATTTGCTTGAAAGAGTCATAACTGGTGACGAATCACGGGTATATATGTTTATTATTTTGAAAGCAAAGTCCAATCGTCCCTATGGAAGAGCCCAGGAGAACCAAGACCAAAAAAACACGCCAAGTTCGATCCAAGTTCGAGCCAAGTTCTTGCCACATGGCCCTACAGTCGATAAGAAATATTATTTTGAAGTTATACGCCGCTTGCAAGAAGCAATACGAAGGAAACGTCCCGTATTGTAGAAACACCATTCATGGCATTTGCATCACGGTAATGCCCACTCGTCATTGCTTGTTCGGATTTGGACCCCTGCGACTTTTTCCGGTTCCCAAGATAGAAGAGGATGGCGTATTGCCACAAGTGAGGAAATGAAAACCAAATCGCTGAGAGAAGTCAAGGACATATCAAAAAGTGCATATCAGAACTAGTTTGAGGATTGGAAAAAAACGCTGGCACGAGTGTATTATATCTGAGGGGGACTACTTTGAAGGGGATAAACTAGAGATTGATGAATAAATTAAAATTCACCTTGTTTTTTGAACATATCTCATATGTTGTTCATTGGTGAAGAAACTGAATTGAACTGGTTTTTCTGTGACTTTTTGGAATCCTCCAGAAAGAACCAGATCGAATTGAACAATGTAATTATGTAAAATTGAATAAGTGTTCCATTTACGTATGGTTAAATTTGATTATAGGGCTTTTCAAATTGAAAATTGTTTTTAGTACATGATTGCATTCCAATATCGCACGTTTGTCCCCTTGAAAAAATGTTGAATCTATATAAACTCTTATACTCCCCTCTCAAAGTTATGGTCCTATCCAGTCATCTTTCACTGTCTTCAAAGAAATGTTAAAAGGCGGTTTTTTACATATCCTTTTATTTCTTCAAAGCAAATATCGTTATCATTTCATATAATGAAATATTCATTGACATTTTTGTTGTAATTCATATCTTCATAATTATTTAGGGTAATTCACACATGTGTGATGATATCTTTGATTTCCTCTTAGGGCCTGCTTCAAGGGACCCTGCTATGCTAGAAAAAATGATGGACGCAGGAATGAATGTTGCTAGGTTGAACTTTTCTCATGGTTCACATGAATATCATGGTGAAACCATAAAAAATATTAGATTGGCCGTAGAAAATTACAGTAAGAAAATTGGAATGCCATATCCACTAGCCATAGCTTTGGATACTAAGGGACCAGAAATTCGCACAGGACTTCTTGAGGGGGTGAGTTTTTATAATATTAACTACCGAAATTCATGTTTAATGTATCTTGTACTTTAGATTTATTCTTAGTTGAAATATCAGTACTGCAGTGAAATACTCGAGACTTGTGATTTTATGAAATTAATTTAAAAATATATTTGCCATAAATATTTCGTTTACGTTTCTTGGCAAATCGAATCACTGTTAACCAAATAAATACATTTTTTTGGAATCTAACATCTACTTTTGATCAATGAATATTGTCAGTGTCATTGCTTTTCGAGTTTGAAAGCCGTGGATTTTTAGAATTTCTTCCTGACGTTTCGCTGGCGCGAGTGGCTAGCTTCTTCAGAGGTTTAACCATCATGGCTTGCTGT